CCTCCAGCGAGTGCACACACCCCATAACAAAAATCTCTCAAAAAGAAAAAAAAATCCAGCAAATAAAGGGTGTGAAGTAGGATAGAAGAAGCATGATTGGAAAAATTGCTGCAACTGGTAAATGAGGGTTTATTGTACTGTTCTACTTTTGTGTACTTTAAAAAATGTAGCATAATACAAATAATTTTCTCCCTCTTTTTAAGGTTTTGCCATAGAGCATGTGCACTCAAAAAAGAAAAACAAAGTGAGAAATCACCTCCCGCGAGAATGGCCACACCCCAACCCCTTCTCCTTCATTCTCCTGGGATTTTGGTCGTGTGCACACACACACACCTAGCATGAATTTCAAGCCAGCACAAGGACTCAAACCATGGTCAGCCATGTGTAAGTTAAGCACCTCAACCATTGGGCCACCTGCTGGTCCCATATAATACAAAACTTGTAAAGTTTTGTTTTGTTTTGTTTTGTTTTGTTTTGTTTTGTTTTGTTTTTACCATGATTGAACCTTTAAGAACATGTATTTGACAGGCTATACAGATAAGGGTCTTCAAAAAGCCTATTAAAAATGTGTATCATGGAGGCCAGCAGGTGGGATGGTGGTTAAGGCACTGGGCTTCTGCATGGCTGACTGTGGTTCAAGTCCCAAACCTATTGGCTTGAAAATCATACGTGGCGTGTGTGTGTGTGTGTGTGTGTGTGTGTGTGTGTACCCAAAATCTGGTGGAGAGAATGGAGGAGAAGGGACTGTGGCATGGCCATCCCCCCAGGGAAGGGGGTGATTTCTCACTTTCTCTCTTGGGCAGTTGCTGAGCTTCTGTAGTTTTCATTTTCTCATCTGCCAAAAGAACTAGCAAACTTGGGAACCAGCAGTTAGCGTAATGGCTATGTCGCTGGACGCCCACGTAGTCGACCGCGGTTCGTGTCCCGGACCCGGTGGCTTAAAACTCACGCTGGGCGCGTGTGTGTGCGTGCCCAAGATCCCGAGAGGAGAATGGAGGAGAAGGGATTGCGGCATGACCATCCCCCCTGGGGGGGGATTTCTCGCTTTCTGTCTCTATGTCTCTCTCTGTCTGGCGAGCGCACGCGCCCTACAGTGAAAATCTCTCCAAATAAATAAAGAAAGAAAGAACTAGCAAACTATTTCTACTCAGCTCCCCGCGTGGATGTGAGGAGTCAGGGATCAGCCGGCAGGGGGAGTGCTGCGTCCTCTCCCTCCACCCTGGAGGACCTGAGGGCCATGATTCTCAAGCCCAGGCATCCTCAATTTTGAAAGCCCATGTAATTAGCTTGCACACTTTACAGCTCGGAGAAGCAGCAGCATGGAGCACCTCTAACTGCAAACGTCGGGGGGCTCGCTCTCGCTGCCTCCATGAACACCACCCTTGGTACCATTTTCTATTATTTTTGCTGATTGCAGACACGGCTGTGAGCAATCAAATATGGTAGGTGACTGAAAGTCACGATTATCCCTTCTTTGGCAAAATAGCATTAAAACCAACTAAGACGGAATCTAGAAATGTTTAAGTCCCTGGAGCCTGTCACAAATTCACTAGAAGCCTCATTTACGGGAAAATGCAGCTCCTCCTGCGATCAGCTGGCAGCAGCAATGCATCTGCGTGTGCCTCAGTCACTCACCCCAAAGTGGAGCTGCATGCAGGTCCTTGAGGCCAAGATAAGCACCGTGCTTTTATTCAGCCCTGGACTCACTGCGTTGTAGATAGGTTCTTTGGCCTAGCCCTGGACGCTGGGCAACCCGAGGTCAGGAATCTTGCCCCGGTCATCTTGCGTGGCTGTCTCAGTTCAAGCTGCTGTAACAAAATACCATAGAGAATTGGCTTATAAACAACAGAAATGGATTTCTCACCATTTTTAAGGCTGGGAAGTTCAGAGTCAGGCACTCGTAGGTCAGTATCTGGTAAGGACTTATTTCCTCACAGACAGCACCTTCTTGCTGTGCCCTCGGATGGCAGAAGGGGTGAAGGAGTTTTCCAGGGTCTCGTTTACAAGGGCACTGATTTCATTCATGAGAGGGGGTCCACCCCATGACCTAAGGTCCTGCCTCCTATTACCATTACCTGGTGGGTAAGGATCTCAACATAGGAATTTGGGGTTTGGGCAGTACACAACTATTCAGACCATAGCTGTGACCCAACCATGTAGTGCAGGGCCTTGAACTTGGTAGCTGCTCAATAAATGATTGTTGTTATCTTATGACTGGGAGCAAACTGATGGCAACTTCTGTTGCTACGCTTTCCAAGAGTAAAATAACTAAATCACTCTGGGACTGGAGAGGAAAATGCAGGAGGAAATTCTCTTATGGTTACTTATAACACACACACCTTATTGTTTCTGAACCTATCCCCTTTTCATTGACTTTATCCAGTTTTTAGAACATTATTGAGTTTTAATTGGCCCCAGGCTAATGTTTTTCTTTTCCCCCATGCATTGCCTCAGCTCCCTGCTTTTAGTAACTTGAGGAGCAATGCTTTCTGGTCTTCCAGCTTTGGGGCAAGGCAGTCCAGCTTCCATTTCATCTTAGTGGGGAAACCTTTGCAAGCTTTCTTTGTTTTTTTTGGAGAGGTTTTTGCTATGGGGCACGTGCATTCGCCAGAAAGACAGAGAGACAAAAAGCGAGAAATAACCCCCCCAAGGGGGACAGCCACGCCGCAATCCCTTCTCCTCCGTCCTCCTCTCTGGATCTTGGGTACGCACGCACGCACGCAAGCCCGGTGTGAGTTTAAGCCACCAGGTCCGGGACTGGAACCACGGTCAGCTACATGGGAGTCCAGCGACATAGCCATTACGCTAACTGCTGATCCCTCTTTGTAAGCTTTCTTAGTTCCAGAAATTCACTGAGGCAGTGGAAGTGACCCCAACTTCCATAGATTAACAGTAACTGATTACTCAATACCTTGGTCACTCCTCGGTGTTCTTCTGGACTGGGTAGAAAAAGACATTGCTCTCAGTTCACTTGCTAAACTCAATACTCTCAAGTCATTAAACTTCATTCTCCACTATTCCATGCACCTCATTTCAACTTGAGATTGGGGATAAAAATGAAAAATACTAACAGGAGGCCATACAACCAAGTATTTCTTTTTTTTTTCTTTTTAAAAATTATTTTATTTCCTTTATTAATACTATTATTACTCTTTCAAGTTTGCTATAGGGCATGTGTACTCACCAAAGAGAGAAAGGGAAGGAGAGAAAGAAGGGAAATGAGAAAGCAAACTACCAGGCCCAGGACTTGAACCACAGTCACGCATGTGGGAGTCCAGCACCTTAACCACCGCACCACCTGCTGGCCCCTCTTTTTGTTTTCAACCAAGTATTTATGTAACAAAGGTATCTAATCAATAAGAACCTTCACTGCCAAGAGTTGCCGAGGGGCTTTAATTTGGAAAACAAGAGTTCCCCGAGAAGAAATGATGGTCCGGTTTTCTCTCTTATTGGTCAGGGCCCTTACTAACTCTTGGTGGAATTATTCCCCACCCCTGTCTTTCCTTACTAAATCATCCCGTCCATTCCACTCCCTCCCATTCAGCTAAAAATCTAAACGCAGTATGTCCCTCTACTCTCTCAGTTCATTCTCTTAATTTCCTTTCCAAATGCAGCTTCTTGTGTGCTGAGAAAGGAAAATTGAATTTAGTTAGAAAACTAATAGTAACACAGCATGCAAATCTGGGTGTCTGGTAAAGTGGTCCCTTGGCTTGACCTGAAGAGAACAGGACGTCATTTTTCCCAGAAGCCCACACATTTCGAGGTCTGATCTGACCGCATCCCAGGGTACACTGGGAAGTGGTCACTGGCTGAGCTGCAACAAGGAAAGGTATTAGCTTGGGGTCTTCTCAGGAGGGAGCATTATGGGTGAGTCCTTGCAGTCCCAACAGTGGGACCCAGCTTAGAAAACTGAACTTGAAAACAAAGAGAAAAATAGAAGGTTTGATTTGAATAAGAAACGGACCCCAGGGAGCATGCTCAGAGCTGAGTGTCAATAGCGTATGCTTTCAGCGTGACTCCCATACCAGCCCTCTCAGCAAATCAGCCTGCTCATGGTTACTGCCTCAGTGTGTGGGAGGAACCCATGTGGCATCAGTGAGGGTGGGCTGGTCCCAGTTTGCCCATAGTGACCACTCCTGAGTGCACCTGCTGTTCTCTCGTCTCCGTATGTTTCTCCCAGAGACACCCACTGTCCTACAGTATGCATTCTTGGCATGGGTAGAAAGGTCAAGAAGGTGGACATTATAAACCATGAGAGGCCAAAGCAAGAATATTTTATCAAACCGTAATAGCCAGTACTCTGTTGTCACTCCAAAAATATGACATCTGTGTTTGAAGAATTTTGTTAAAAGATGGGAAAATCTTAAGTGAGTTTTTTAAGCTTCTTAGCTTCAGCTACATAATCTCCCAGAACCCTAAGTCTGAGATCTTCCCCCCGCCTTGCAGCTCCACAACGCTGTGCACTTCCTCCAGCACCACACCTACCACGCAGAACTGTAATCATCTCTCTCTCCCACTCCATGGGGCCACGGGCCAGAACCCACAGTCCTAGCCCCCAGTAAGTGTCTGTAGAATGGATGAATTCTGATGAGTTTGTATAAGTCTTTTGTCAGGCCAGTGCGTCTCTCTCTGTACAAGAACAAGGTCTGAGTATGGTTTGTTCAGACTGTAGACTGTGTAAGGACATCAAGCAGAGGGAATAGGGGAGGTGAAATCCAGGCCACGCTCTTGTCACCAGGCCGATTTTTGCAGGTTCTGTTCCCAGAGGAAGAGGGGCCTTTGTCTGATTTGCACAATAGCACCGTGTCGGCTTTTCAACAGCTGAGCTCTGAACAACACGGTTTTCAAAAGAAGGTGGGAAATCTCCCTCTCGTTCCTCAAAATGCTAGGACTGAGTGGTTTGATGAAATGGTGTCTTTAGGTCCTTTCCCAACCACCGAAGCTCACGTACAGTAAAGACCTCTCTCACTCTGCTCTACTCTGATCCTTGTCTCCTGCAGGGTTTGGGATGACCACTCCAGCGACCCTAGGAGGAAAAATCTTTCTGATCTTTTATGGCCTCATTGGGTGTGCCAGCACCATCTTGTTCTTCAACCTCTTCCTGGAGCGTCTGATCACTGTCATCGCCTACATCATGAAATCATGCCACCAGCGGCAGCTGCGGAGACGAGGGGCCCTGGCCCAGGAAAGCCTGAAGACCCCGGGGAAGGCCGAGGTGGACAGCCTGGCTGGCTGGAAGCCCTCAGTGTACAACGTCATGCTGATCCTGTGCTTGGCCTCCGTCCTCATCTCCTGCTGTGCCTCGGCCATGTACACTTCCTGCGAAGGGTGGGGCTACTTCGACTCGCTCTACTTCTGCTTCGTGACTTTCAGCACCATTGGCTTTGGGGATCTGGTCAGCAGCCAGAACGCCCAGTACGGGGGCCAAGGCCTGTACCGCTTCGCCAACTTCGTCTTCATCTTCATGGGTGTTTGCTGCATCTATTCCTTGTTCAACGTCATCTCCATCCTCATCAAACAGTCTGTGAACTGGATCCTGCAGAAGGTGGGCAGCAGCTGCTGTCAACAATGCCAAAGAAGACTCTTGCAGTCTCGGAGGAATGTGGTGATGCCGGGCAATGTCCGCAACCAGCGTGATGTCTCCATAGAAACAGATGGGGTGGTGGAGAGTGACACGGATGGGCGACGTCTCTCGGGAGAGATGATCTCCATGAAGGACTTCCTGGCAGCCAACAAGGTCTCACTGGCCATCCTCCAAAAGCAGCTATCTGAAACTGCCAATGGCTGCCCCCACTCTGCCAACGTGCTGTCGCGAGACAGTGAATTCTCAGGGGGCGTGGGGGCCTTGGCTGTCATGAACAACAGGTTGGCAGAGACGAGTAGGGACAGGAAGAAGTGAGGCATGGGTGCTGGGCATGGAGGCCCAGGCCAGAGTGCAGGGTGAAGGACGGTCATACACAGGCTGAGCCCAGCTCTGCACCTGGTTGGTTCCTTCTGGACACTGTTCCCATTAGCTTCTCAAGCCCGACTTTGGAAATGTGATCTCGGCGCCAACCAGCAGCCACTGTCCAGGGCTAGGGGAATCTGAGGCCTCAATGCCTTTCCCCTTACCTTAATTGTTTCCATCGAAATTCAGCTTTTTAAAAAGGAATCACAAGAGCAGCATGAACCATTGCCTTATTTCTCTCCTCTTCTTGGTTCTGAGTTTCCACCACCCAAAGGGTATAGGTTTTATTTAAGCCCTGATTTCCCGAGACTCCATTCCTCATTGGGAAATGAAAATCCTAATTTTTCCCTGGAACTCTGAATGGCTGAATTCAGAAAAGGGAAAAAGGTGTTTGAGAATGTGGCTGGGCTTTATTTTACTGAGTTTCCTTTAGAGCAGATTTGTTGGAGGTACTGTGGATGGGGGAAATAGCCATTCTAGTCTTTTTTTTTTTTAACCTCTTTTTTTTTTTTAAGAGAGAGATTTTTGCTATAGGGCATGTGTGCTCACCAGAGAGACAGAAAGTGAGAAATCACCCCCCATGAGGGATGGCCACACCACAATCCCTTCTCCAGTCTTCTCTCAGGATTTTGGGCACACATGCACACACACCCAGTGTGTTTGAAGCTGCCAGGTCCTGGACTCAAACCGCAATCGACTATGTGAAAGACCAGCAACATAACCATTATGCCATCTGCTGGTTCCCCGTTCTACTCTTTATACCTGCTTTTCTGGCTTTGTTTGGCTTTTTCCCTTTCTTTTGATTTTTAAGATCTTACTGCCTGGTTAAGATGTCTATGGGACATCAATAATACAACTAACTTTAGCTTCAGACTTTTAAACTGCAGCAAGGGGTGGGGATGGAGGAGGGAAGAGTCTCGTTTTTGTAACTAAACACATAGCTCACATGGACCATTTCATTTTTATTGGGACTTGGGGTCCACTGCAAAGATAATGACTATTTATTAGAACTGAAATTTAATAAATTCTCATTTTATTAACTAAGATTCCACGAGTGCTCATTATGGACAGTGGAAGGAAAGCACCTCATTAAACAGGAATATATTTCACTCAGAGAAAAAAGAAATGGCAAATTGCCCTTTAGGGATATGAACATCCTCTTGAATTCTTGACTGAAGAAATCATGATATTTGACTTTTCTGGCCTAATCCATTTCAGTCTATCTCATGGCAATGTAACGCATGTAGTTATATAACATCCCAAACAGCTAAAACACTCACACTGGGAACCAGGTTACTTGACCTTCATATTTGCAGAAGAGTATATTTAAGGGGGGATAAAAACAGATGTAACTGTTGTTTTCATAAAAGTGGTGAACACATAGCACTTTCAGAAATGGAAGAGGGGCTGGCCGGTGGCATGGTGATTAAGGGTGCTGGACTCCCATATGGCCAACCATGGTTCAAGTCCCAGACCTGACAACTTGCTTTCTCACTCTCCCTGCCCCCAGACTTTCTCTGTCTGTCCCTCTATGGTCAAATTAAAAATAAATAAATAAATAAATTTAAATAAAATAATTCTTAAAAAAAAAAGAATGAATGGAGAGATGGACCCCATAAAAAAAGATAAAGCCAAAAATCTATGCCTAGTTTCCCAGTCAACAGAGAACATCAGAACTGAGAGAACCCCAAGAACCACCTCATTCAGTATTCTTGTTTTTGACATGAGGTCACAGAGGTATAGGGATTGCTTCTTGTCTTAGGTCTTAGGGATGGGTGGTATACACATAGCCAAGAAATAAACCAGGTACCCAGATGGCAAAGTCCATATTTGTTTTAGTCCATTCTCCAGTTGCTAAATGGGAATAGCCAAATTATATTAAAATATTTTTTAAGTTTTGAAGTGCTTTAAAGATGTCATACCATTGTCTTCTTACTTCATATAGTTTCTGAGGAGAAGTCTGTTGTAGTTCTTATCTGGTTCCGGTGATACAACGTTCCTTTTCTTCTCTGGCTGTCTTCAAGATTTTCTCTTTGTCTTTTGTTCTCTGCCATTTGATTGTGATATGTCCACTTGTATGTGGTGTGTGTGTGTGTGTGTGTGTGTGTGTGTATGTGTGTGTAACACCAGAGTAATAATTGCTGCAGGCAAAATCTACTTATGATGCCAAAATGTAATGTAAAAATTCAAGCAGAAACAAACTGTTTGCAGTCCCAAAGAATCTTTATAAAAATATTTGGTAATTACAAAGAGAAAAAATAACTTTTCAGTGGAAAATTCTGGCAGACACTGGTTAATCAAGTGGTCAAAGTTATCATCAGAAGTACATATCAATATCACATGCCACATGATATGACACACTGAGAAGAGCACAGTGTCTCCATGGAATCCTTGACAACAACACATACCTTCATCAGAAAACATCAGATAAACCCAAATTGAAGCACGTTCTACAAAATAACTAATACTCTTCAGAAGTCTCTTCAAGATCAGGGACCAGCAGTTAGTGTAATGCCATGTCGCTGGACTCCCAGTCAACCGCGGTTTGAGTCCCGGACCCGGTGGCTTAAACTCATGCCAGGTGCGTGTGCGTGCGTGCCCAAGATCACAAGAGGAGAATGGAGGAGAAGGGATTGCGACATGGCCATCCCCCCTGGGGTGTGATGTCTCGCTTTCTATCTCTCTGTCTTTCTTTGTCTTTATGGTGAGCACACGCACCCCATAGCAAAAAGCTCTCCCAAAAAAAAAGAAAAAAAAAGAACTGGAATAAAGGCCAATGAATTTTTTTAGTCTAATTAACAATATTGTCTCAGGATTAAATTCTTAATTTTGATCATGGTTCTATGGTCCATAAGATGCTAACAGAAGAATTCAGATAAAGTGTATATGGGGACTCTGTGCTATTTTTACAACTCGACTATAAGTCTAAAATGGTCTCAAAGTGAACATTTAGGCGAAAAAAAAAAACAAACCAGGACTCTTTCAAGGTTGCGCAGCTAGTCACACCTCTACTTGGACCATGCCTTTACACCAGTTCTTATGCCCCAGGCAGTTCTTGGCCATGGTAGCGGTTCTGAGAGTGAGGTCCCCAGGCCAGGAGCAACAGCAACAAACCTGGGACTTATTACAAATGCAGAATCTCAAGCCCCGTGCCCAACTTAAGGTAAGGCCAGGAACCTGTATTTTAGCACAACCTAGGGGCAATTCTGATGTGGTCAAGTCTGGGAACCACTTACCTAAAGCACTGAGAATCTAACCAAAAAAAATGTATACCTAAATAAAGGTAAATGTAAAAAACAAAAGCAATATATCCACCATTTGAAAATAGATCCCAGTGTCATTACTAGCTGTGAGCCACCCTTTCCACCATTTAGAACTTATTCCTCCCTGTAGCCTGCCTGCCTACCACCAACTCTATGGAAATAACCTGGGGGCTAGCAAGTGGCATGCTGGTTAAGGCACTGAATTCTGACATGGCCCACTACGGCTCGAACCCCAGACCTGGTGGCTTCTAAATAACATCGGGCGTGTGTGTGCGCGTGCCCAAAATCCCAAGAGGAGAATGGAGAAGGGATTATGGCATGGCCATCTCCCAGGGATGATTTCTCACTTTCCCTCTGTCTCTCTCTTTCTCCAGCAAGGGCGCATGCCCGATGGCAAAAACAAAACAATCTGGCTTATTTCAAACTACAGGGCCTCTTCCTCTGTACCCTAAACCATGTTCTCCTCTACTCATATATAACCTTGTAATGATTTATTTACTGTTTTCTCGGACCTGTCTAAATATTCTTTTTAATAACTCAGGGATTTGTTTTTGACTCCCTAAGCTCCTTGAAGGTTATAACTGGGTTTTCTTCTCTTCCACTGAAATGTGATAGAAGTAGTCAATAATAATCTTTTACTTAACCTAGGAAGACAGAATCTTGGGAATCCAGACTAGGGTTTTAGAAGCTGTGCTTGTTCCCCTTCTCAGATAGGATTGTACTTCAAAACAGACCTGTGTGGAGATGGGAAAAAATAAGGAATTTTTTTCAATGAAGAATATACTCCTGGGACCAGCAGTTAATGTAATGGCTGTGTCGCTGAACTCCCATGTAACCAACCATGGTTCAAGTCCCGGACCCGGTGGCTTAAACTCATGCCAGGCATGTGTGCGTGCATGCACAAGATCCCGAGAGGAGGATGGAGGAGAAGGGATTGCAGCGTGACTATCCCCTCTGGGGGGTGACTTCTCTCTTTCTATCTCTCTGTCTCTCTCTGTCTTTCTGGTAAGCACATGTGCCCTATAGCAAAAAAAAAAAAAAGAGAGAGAGAGAGAGAAAAGGATATACTCCTGAGCATAAGCTATAAAGGGAAGAGAAACCTACTCCCGGTTCCTAGCCTGCATCTTCATTGCAGGGGAGGAAAAAGCTTTTCCTCTACTCTCTCATGTTCAAAGACTGGGCCCTGCTGATTAAACTGACAAAAGACATATTAAGAGCAGAAAGGGGATACAACTTGTATTTGAATCATTAATATTTTTAGATGGCATGGAGGGGATCTTCATAGAAAAAAGATGAAAAAAAAAAAAAAAGGAAACCTACAGAGGCAGTAAAGCCTGAGGGTTTACTTACCATTTTAACAAAGAGCAATGATTTGAGGAGATGTGACAAGACAAAAGAAGAGAGGTTTGGGCTTCTAAGGGTGGTAAATTGTGGGAGGGTAAATGCATGGGTAACTAATGGGAGAAAGAGTTATTCCTATCAGGTTTGTTTCTATAGGTTCAAGTTGGTGCCATCTTCAGTGATGAATGTCAGCTCTTCTTCCTGGTGGGGTTGAGCGAGCACCTCTACCAGAGGAAATTCATGCTCTGCCTTTAGACAGAGAGGGGGAGGGTAAGAAAGCTTTTCCTACATTTCTTGATTGACTTTAGCTCAAAATCATATGCTAAAGTGACATATTTTGGGGTGACATTTTGCATTTTTTTAAAGTATATTTCATACGAGAGAGGGAGAGAAGGAAAGAGAGAGGAACAGGAGCTACTGACAGGGCCTTTCCATGTGTAATCCTCCCCCCAGCCTTCCAGCTACAGAATCAGAGGTGTGCCCCCAGGGGAGTCCAGCATGTTCCCATCAACCTGGGATCCCAATATGGGGCCTTCCCACATGGCTGTCGTACCCCTCAGTGATGCCCTACCGAATGCATCATGACTTTCCTGACAACCCACTGTGGCTGGGCCTGGGATGGCATGTTCCTACCCTCGTCACCAGCAGGCTGTGCCACTGTCACCAGATCCCAGTGCCTCCAGGAAAGCAGCCTCTTTTCTGTGTCCAGAGCCATTTCTGATCACCTCGCATAGCCCAGACACCCAGATAACTACTCTGGAAACCGTGCTCTTCAACAATAGTTGAAGGTAATGACTTAGTATCCTGGGTTTATGTAGAAAGTGGTGTTATTTTTGCTAATAAAACTTTTTAAAGAATTTTATTTTATTGTTATTATTATTTTAACTTGACCAGAGAAGGAGAGAAAGAGAAAGTGAGAAAGCAAGCACCAAGACCA